CAGGAAAATTAGTTGAACTAAACAGTGAGACCAAACAGTTGATAATGCGTGATTTTAAGTCTCGTGGTTGGTGTCCAAGCACGGAAGTTTGATGTCGATTTTTTTTGCTTGAACGAAGTTCTTCCTCAAGTCTTGATTTTCTGCATTGACAAACAACGAACACTTAATCTCAAGGTTGGATGGGTTTTTTTCAGGAGATTGGAACGTCATCGTAACATTACTACCTGCTGGTTTCAGAGAGGACTTTCCACTTTTCTCTTTATCATTTCCGCCGCAAAATGGGGGTATAGAGCTCACATCAACCATGGAGGCACGCTTTCGCGGCGTTTCTTTCTTAAAGACAGGAGTGTTATTATGCTTCCTATCCTCCAGTGAATTATTCCGAGTGTTTGAAAGACAATTTGAGCTTATACTTCTTCGAAACAGAATGGCTTGGTGCACTGTCATGCCCGGAACAAAATCGCAGTTTTCAGCAGAATCATGTTCAAGTTTCAATGCCTTTTTGAATTTATAAAGTTGAGCCGGTGGAGACCTACAATGAAATGCTGGGGACGAGTAACCCCATCTCGGACTGTGCGCATTAGTGTCCAAACTCATTTCGTACTTGGGTTTTTCCTTGTTGGTGTTTGAATGCCTTCTCTTCGTAGATTTGTACTCTTTACGATTAGGGGAAGTAACCGGCTTATATCCCCAGCTACTCACTTGTGGCGGAGAGCTACCATCAACTCCAAATACAGCGGGAATAAGAGCCAAGTTTGCGCGGCGACTTCGGTTTTCGGCGCCACCAAACCCAGTTTTCCGCTGGGACAATTGAGAGCAAATTGACATTAGATCAATGGCCGGTAAAGAACCAAGTGAGTGGTCGCTTGTCCGTGATCCACTTCTAAATTCCTGTAGGTCGAAGAAGGGCGATGCCTGGGGTATCTGACTTTGGGAAATATCATCAACAGAAGTCGACATAAGGATAGAATGAGAGTGAATCGACCTGTAAACGATTAAAGATGATAACGCTCTTGTTTGTGCAGAAAACGTGAAACCCTATTTTATTTTTACCCCCTATCACGGGAGAAAAAAAAACTGAAAGCCTCTATATCATACATAAAGTTTCGTTAAAAGTTGTTAAAATAAACAGACGCTTCCTTACTTGTTCATTATATCAGCTGGCCGCTAACATTTCGTCAGACTCAAACTATCAAACAAAAGCAACTGCACGTCGCTAAGGTTGTTACCAGACGCCCGTAGAAAACTTACTAAAAAATTTGCTGCTTAGCTCTTACTCTATTTCAATTTCGTCCTATAATCTCATCAGTAATTGTTGACTGTTAGAACTCTGGCTTGTCTGTGATTATTTCGCTGCCGTTTCTAGGATGTAAAGTTTTTCTAATTTATATTAATAAAGACACTGGTTAATCCCTGTTCATTGTGTAAGGTTCTATAGTATATAAACTATCCCTGTCGTCTCTTTTGTTAAATTTTAATAAAGATACAGACGTATGATTCAAAAACCAAAAAATGATTGGATAATTATCTTATCAAAAGAAGTCGAAGTGGACAGACAATGGTAAAGGCGATTAAATCAAGGATTACTGATAATATTTGCATAGATTGAAACGGGAATATTAAGTAAGCCAGTGTTTATTTGTTTATCCACTTGTTTTTTTCCTGGTCCCAACAAATGCGCGTATAACCTTAAGGCAAACAAAGGGTTGATTCCTCCCTTAATTAGTTTATGAGAATATAAAAAGTAAATAAAGAATATGTAAAGAGAAGTTTGGACCGCAAACCATCACCAAACTGAGAAGAAAGTCTTTTTGGTTGCATCCTATTCTTCTCTTTGTTTCCCTAACCATTGATCGCTTAGGGGTTTTTTTTTCAGCCTCAATCATTTCGCCAGTGTTTTTCACTTCTGAGTGAGTATAGACTCTCTCGATATGAAGTTTTAGCTCCGTTAAGAATTGCGTCCGTTTTCGTGCATGGGAGCAAACTTTCGTACTAGTTGATATTACTCTAAATTCATTTTTTGCATTTGAATATTTTCATCTTAGATAAAGAGCTGGTACTTGTAGTACCTGTGAATAATTAAGCACTATTTTTTAATGTAGATGTCACTTGCCTACTTACTCATCCTGCTTCAATAAAAAAGATCATTATGAAGCAACTGACAAAAGGAAAAAAATTGCAAGATTGACCAGGATGAGACAAGACAACTAAGATATCACCGACATGCAGAGAACCGTGCCTCTGACAACGTAGCGTTTGTGTCATATATGGTTATCCGCAGTGTTTCCATTTCATTGGATTTCTGGTACTCCAAACTGGCGACAACTAATGAAAAACACTTAACGCAGTTAGATTCTGATTGGATTGAGGTTCTTTTGTTGTTTTACACTAAAATGTGATCTCGGAGACGAGTCATTAAGTATAAGTTGCATTCCAGTCGTACAAAAAGTGTTAAGCGGCTGTTAAATAATTAGTCAAACTTTCAAAACATAGTATCAATCAATTACTTTTCGTTCTTGTAAATGAAAACGCATTCAAAACTGTTAACACAACAATGGTTAACCCTAAGAGTTACTTTAATAAATAATTGTGTTCAGATAATTCTTTTCTTAATAAATATTCAACAATTATCAATTTGAACGAATCGCATGAGCGTTCAGCAGAAAAAGAATTTCTTTTGTCAAACAAATTTACTCATTGTTTATTCGTTGCTCCCTACGAGTCTTTTACAAACTCAACGGCGACACAAAAGTAATAACTTAAACTCTCTTCAAACGCATTTGATGTGCAATATCCGTCCACAGTTTGAATGAGTAATTTAGACAATGGAATCAAATACGTCAAAAGAGCAATCGATCGAGCAGGCATTAAGGAGGCTTAAATATTTGCACACTTCGCTGGTGCTTCACGGAGCATTTTCAAAACAACATGGATATAATGTTGGTGAACGCATCATAACGAGTACATGTTTGCAGTCTACCAACAAGGAACGATTTAGGACAACAGAGTGGAGTTCTGAGAAACGGTGCTTTCTTTCTTTACAACCCAATACTTCGAATCCATTCGGAGAAAAGACTAAAAGACGAATTTTAAAGTGTAATCAAGCCCAAAAAGCCTTACGAACTGGTCGTGCGCCATTGCGTGTGTCTCGTTCGGTGTCAGTGACCGAGGAACAGCTTGATTCGACAAACGTAAATGAGATCATCTTGAGAGATGTTGAAGTAAGAGAACGTAGACGTACTTCGAAGTCCGCGTCAAGTGGACCATGTTTTATTGATCCGTACAAATGCCTTAACACTTTTACCTACGGCTTTGACGGTAACACTCGTAACAAGAAAGTAACAAAGGAATACTCTACGAACATGAAGATCAATCGCGTCACTTTCTCTGCTAGACCGAGTGGTCATAAGGACAAATCAATGCACGAAAATAAAATCGAAGTTCCGAAAAGTTGCTTCTTCAATGGTTGGGGTGTGCGGTCTAAGAAGGTACATTTACCAAAACGAAACACGGGCGACGATTCTGAGAGACATACCACAGTGGGAGCCATAGATATTGCCGCTGGTATAAAGACTCTCAGATTAGATTCTAAACGAGTACAACAAGGATACCACGAGAGAACAATTCCACAACCCCCACCCACACCTGTTCGACAAATTGATATAAGACTACCTCAAGGAAAGATGGTTAAATATCAACTGCCCGAAGACGAATGACTGACCTGCGCAAGTGTTATAACTTCTTACTACACAATGCCTAATATCCCTACAAAGTTAGATAAGGAAGTCATGAAAAGCTGTTTGTCAAAACAGTTAACAAATTTGTATTTAATCTGTTAGACTGAGGCTATAAACAAGTGTGTCATAATCATAGGTTCAGTATGGATACTTTTAACTCGCTACAAACCATCTCTCAATTAGATCCGGCCGAAAACGAAACTAACGCAGAATGATGCGCAATGTTTATCCACAACATTTTCCTTCTTAGTTGATTGCCATCGCACATGTAATATTCTACTTAATAAATTATCTCGTTAAATAACTGCTCGTAGAAGGTTGAGATTGATTTGTTACTTTTATCTTCATTAGGGATAATGTAAATGTAATATACTTTCACGTTGAGAGAGATCTTAGATTAAATTTGATAGAGAGAATAAAAAACATACGTTAATGTTGAGAAAAGAAAACAGAATTTTTAAAGGTTGAATCATTCGGCTCGGCGCTCAAGCTTGTTTGAGAGTAACTTATCACAAAGTTCCCTATGAGAAGCGTTCAACTATTCACTTTGTTCTACTGCTCCTGTCAAGAAGTAAGAAATAGAGTGGGAACAATTTTTTGCTGCTTCACGTCAGCAACTTGAAGTTGGAAGATGTATCTTACAGTAGGGTTTTCTGAACGAAGAATTCGCTGTTGGTTGATTCGTTTTGATCAGAAGGTGGTTAGAACTCAATAGGACTTTCCTTGCTTTTCGGGAGAGCGCGAATTACACAGTTTGGATCAAATATCTCAGAAAAGGTGTGTAATGCGGGTGTCAATCAAGACCTACGAAGATGTTTCAAGCTGACGGGTAGACCCTAAACTTATTATCCCAGGTCAAAAAACCCTCCCAGTTACAAAAATCTGAATGACAGCAACCAAAAAGTTTAATTTTGCCTGTTTTAGTGTGAAAAAAACACACACTCATATGATGTTATATCTCTAAGGGACGTCATCTGTCAATAAAAAAAAATGCCATTGCCCAAACGGATTTTTTCTTCTTCTTAAAAACAATGTATACTGTTATATACTTTCTGTACTATGGTTTATTAGAAAAGGGGTCAGCTTCCAATCACTCAAAAAATACTCATTAAAAAACAGATTTTAAAGGGTAAATTCAAAGTTTAGAACATGATTCAATGTTTTGTCTTTGTACACTTAAAATGGAAATGTACAACAAGTAACAAAATACTGATATATTTTTTTATTTCACAATAACAAACTGCAACAGAGGAGTAAATTTCCATTCTATTTCAATAATCTTACTGGACTTTTTACTTCTGTATGGACATTTGTTCGAGAACTAATCCGTTATAACTCAACTATAATTAATACTATACCTCGTACGCGTAAAAAAATATGTTTTGTTAATTTCTCCTTCAATACGCCACGTAATTAGTACTTGCATGAACAGATGTCATTTTGTTCAAATATCTCACGACAGTAACGATTAATTATTGATATCCTCGATATCTTCTTTGGACCTTACGCTGTGAGTTGAAAGAGGAGAATAAAGATGAATTTCGTGTAAAAATTCACTAAAATGCACGTTTCTTTTATACTTGGGTTGCGTTGCTCCACCGTTATTTCTATCATTCGAGCTTTCTTCATTATTTTGAATTTCTCTGTATCCAGCTCCCTCCACTGACAGACTTCCGTTTTCAACTTCGTTCCACTTTGCTAAGCGATAGGGAGGAATTTCAATATTCACAAAAGGCACTAACCATAGCTGTCCTTCGTCCATGGTCATTCGCTCGGGAGATGGTGGTGTTATGCCTACAGGAAAATTTGTCGGTAGAGATGCGAGCGACGCAGACTGATTGTGAAGCATAAAGTGGTCTCTAGGCAACTGTCTTATGGTTAAACAATTATCTGCAGAGAACGTGCTCGACTCACCACGCTGATAATTTTGACGAAAACGTTTCTTTTTCCTGTGCGGGTTGATGCTACCAACCTTACGGTCTTTGAGTTTCGGTAAAGATGGCATCTTTGGAAGCGTTGTGTAAAATATCTCCTTATTTTCTGGCGGTATACCTTCTAATTTCGGTAGTCTTAGTTGAGCGCGATATCCTGAGTGTAAAACGGTGTTACTATCGCCAATATCCTCGTAAGAGTCTCTTTTCAGAAGAAGTTGTCTCAAATAATCCTGGTCATTAATATAAAGTTGTTTTGGCAATTCATGATGCTGTAATTTTTGTGAGAATTTCTTGTGACGCGTGCGGGTCTTCGTTAATCCGCCGTGAGACGAATTAATAACCATCTGTTGTTCGCGAGGTTCTAACCTTCCAGTGTTGGTTTGTCCCTCATTTGATCTGTTTGCGTCAGACAATCCCTTCCTATATATTCGAACAGCTTTTTCTTCATAGCGTCTGTGAAGCAGTAGTAGTTCTTGAACCTCTTTGTAACTTCTTTTATCTTTCACCGTGGTTGCAGAAGAACCTGTCAGAGCGAGTGGCATTTTGAATTTCGTTGCTACTTTCTTGCGGATTCACAAAAGCAACTAAGTGTAACAAACCGATTGAATCGTACAATCAATAAAGTAAATTTCGTTTGACAAGAGCATTAGAAATGTAAGAGGTAAAATAGGCCCAATATCCCTCTGTAAACAGGCAGTTGTTGTGGACACGTTTTAGAAGAAGTAAGTCTCTTAGCTCATCTCTTACAAGTGTCAACTGAAGATGACAGGTTTAGGTTGAATGAATATTTTATGAAATTTTCATCCATGTGACCAATGACCCACAACGTATCCTGTTGCGAATACATCTTAATATATAATAAAAAATAACAGTTGTTTACACTTTTTGTCGGGAAAAGCTGGCCAAGAAACAATACTCCGATCACCTTTGTACTAAAATACTTTCTCTATGTTTTTAACGAAAAGCAATTTGGATAAAAGCTGTTTCAGAACGACCTGATTCTTATAAAAAACGAGTAGCGTGACATTCAGTATTTCATCATTCGGATTTTTAGAATTATTTACATTGCAGTCTTTTTTAAGTCAGCCTGAGCTGGATAAACAATAGTGGCACTTGTCCGAGAGGTCAGCTGGTGAGAGAGGATTTATAACTTCAGTTTATTGTGAAAGTGTTTCTTCTGATTTTATTTTTCTAGAGTTTTGCACTCGGGAGTGATTCGAATGTCCTGAATTACAAATGATTCTCACAGAAACTCATAAAAGATTATCGCGACATAGCAAAATAAACACTGGTAGAGAATAGTAATCAAGTTATTGTGTTGGTAATCCTTTTGATGATAACTAATTAGGAACCCTATGGAAATAATAACTCGCTGGAACTTTAAAACTAAAACTGTTTACATATCCCCTGTTGACTGCGAACATCATAAGAAGTAATTCAAGGTTGGCACTAGTTTGGTAAAACTGACGGCAGCGTTATGGTTAATTTTTTTTCACTGATGATCTTTGCCAGTTCATTTTATGTCTTATCTTGACCCGTCAAATCACTTATGTTGCGCCTGATGATTAACAAAGGCCAAGAGAAAATAATGGGCCTCTTGCTAAGGCTTATTGCCGCTTTCATCCTATTTAGGTATCCTACACTAAGTACATTCCAGCTTTGCGGCGCCTCAGAACGATAGGGATAATCTCTGACCAAAGATACATCAAATTTCTTTGTGAACCAATTTTTTGATCTATGTGCTTAAGCGAGAAGCTCAAGATCGTTCCATGCATGCATGGGACGTGTTGAACCACCTTTAGGGTCTAAATTTTTCCCATTACCATCAAAAATGCATGAGCGAAGTCTAATGCACAATGTTTTGAGCAAGGTTTTGTAGGGTGTGACATGAAGTAAAGCGTGTACCACAGTCTTACCTCCAATAGGAAAGAAAACATCCGATATTTTTTTCACTTCAAAGTGATCTTTATAAGTAGAATAAGAAAGATGGGATGTTTTGAGTCCGGTAAAGAAATAATAATAATAATAATAATAATAATAATAATAACTTTATTTATATAGCGTCTATATCACTAATTGCTCTAGGCGCAATATCAACAATATCACAAAATGTATTATTAAAAAAAACTAAAAAATCTAACAACTACATGTATAAGCACGGAAATTAAATAGAACTATATTTACAAATAAAAAAAGGCTTGGCGAATTAAATATGTCTTTAAGTGTTTTTTGAAAGAATTCAAGGAATCGACATTTCTTAAAGATGCGGGTATGCCGTTCCATAATTTAGGTCCTGCAATAGAAAATCTTCGATCACTATAAGACTTAAGCTTAGATCTCGGGACTTGAAGTAACTTATTCGAACAAGAACGCAAAGAGTAGGAGCTGATACAAAACTGAGCAAATTGGATATATAACTTGGTGAAAGTCCATTGATAGCCTTCTAAACTAACAATAAGATTTTATAAGTAATTCGATATTCAACAGGCAACCGATGTAAATCTATTAAAATGGAAGTTATATGTTCATACTTCTTTGTGAATGTTACAATGCGCGCTGCCCTATTCTGAACTAGCTGTAGGCGGTTTAAGAGAGCTTTAGGTAATCCATGTAGAATCGCATTACAATAGTCCAAGTTAGTGGCTACAAAAGCATGAATAATTGCTTCAGCAGATTCACGATCCAAATATGTTCTGATTGTACTAAAAGAAAGAGAGAAAGATGTTTTTTGTCTTGTCACGAGCGTGGGACGAAGAAAAAATTCTGAGTCCCCATGAGGAAACAACCTCAGACCTTCAGATTTCGCGCTCGGATGCTGTGCCACTGAGCCTCGGAGACTCTGTGGTGAGCGAGGCCCACTATATGACACGTGTCCCACATACTGCTGGGATCAGCTATGTCGATAGCGTCATGTTTGTAAATAGAACAAGAGAGATGGGAAGTTTTGGGCCCCGTAAAGAAATAGAGAAAGATGTGTTTCGTCTTGTCACGAGCGTGAGACAAAGAAAAAAATTTGAGTTTTCTGATCTTTGTTGACCTTGTGTGACCATGTTGCTGCAAAAGCACATCATTTTCTCAAACACGTCACTTTACTGATATACAAAGCGATGTGACATTCCGGTAAACAGTCTAAACAGCATCGCTGGCGTCGAGATCCAAGTTCCCAGGTGCAATCTTAACATTATTTCTCGGTTATGGATTTCTAACAACGTTGAACCGATTATGAATATGCCAACACCAAAGAAAGCGACAGAGGGCAAAAAAAACAAGTTGTTCAGTTGAACTGAAGGCAACCTGCCAATGAATAAAGGGGGTAAGTTTCTAAAGAAACTGTGGTGCCGCGGTGGGAGAGTACAACAGGTAATTTAGTGTTATTAACTGAGTTGAAAACGTGAATAGGCCACCGTAAAGAGTTTAAAGGCTGACGTTTTGGGCGTTGGCCTTCTTCAGTGCGATTAGAGGAATTTTGGGTTGAGTGTGGGTTTTACATGAAGAAAATGGAGCAACACTATTGCTGGGAATATGAGAAAACAAGAATAAATCAGTTGAATGAAAAGCTGCCATTTGCTGTTTTTTTTTATCTCCCCTAAACATTCTAAACAGCAAATGGCAGTTTGCAGCCTTTCTTTACATCTATGCAGTTCGGAAAGCCGCAAAAGACTAGAACGAAAATTCATCTTCCAAACCGGCACTCTTAATCCCCACGATATCAACGAGCGCTTCTCATTCAACGATTTTATTCCTGTTTCTCGTCACCATATTCCCACCAGTGGTACAAAGTAGCTCCATTTTCTGCATATCAACCCACACACAACCCACAATTCCTCTAATCCCTCTGACGAAGGGCTAACGCTCGAAACGCCAGCCTTGAAACTCTCTACGGTGGCCAATTTACGTTTTCAACTCAGTTGCTAACACTTAATAACCTTCCAATGAATCGCTTTAAAAGGAGCGGCACAGAGTGAAGGAGAGTTCGCGCATTTAAAGCTACATGCATCTCATTTAAATTTTTTTGCTGGGGCTGGGTCGTTTGCACAAAATTATTGAATTAAAACTGATCGTTAAAGACCCCTCGCTAAACTTGAGGCAA